ATTCCGGATCACCTCATTATCATCTCATTTGGTTTGTTTTCGACGAGAAAGTGACTATGTTCGAAATCGGACCGCGGCTTGCGACGAAGCTTGGGCTCAATTGTGGAAGCCAGTGCTTAAACGCCAGGTGATGGAATAGCGGGGGGTGCGCTTCACACCGTCTAAAATAGTGCATGATTGCTTGATCACCATTGCTTGATCATGGGGTGTCCTCTTTGATGAAGCGGTGCTGAGTGCATGAGGCCTCTCGACAGGCACAGGCACTACCTCGTTACTGCTCTGTCTGAGGTCCGCCGGGCCATCGTGCCTGCTCTGCCTGAGGTCCGCCGGGCCATCATGCCTGCTCTGCCTGAGGTCCGCCGGGCCATCGTGCCTGCTCTGCCTGAGGTCCGCCGGGCTATCGTGCCTGCTTTGCCTGAGGTCCGCCGGGCTGTCGTGCCTGCTCTGCCTGAGGTCCGCCGGGCTATCGTGCCTGCTCTGCCTGAGGTCCGCCGGGCCATCCAAACGAAAACATAAAACAAGCCTGGACGCCAAAGGGATGCCCTACTCCGTACGAATGCGACGCCCTCAAGAAGAAGATGGCGCCAAAAACGATGGAGGCCTGGGATCCTGTATAATTTGTGAGATACAAAACCGTAAAGACAATTTTTCCTTCAACCTGTGTAGATGCATTCATAATTAAGCACCTGCATTAGCCCCGGTCGTTTCGTAACATGAACCTGAGTTAAAAAGCGGGTTCACCCTATGCGTTTTAGCGTGGTTGCATAATGATCTGGCTGGCGGTGCTTTAGGTGGACTTGGGCTACAGAGTCGTATTCATTATCTTGCCCTATTAACCAAACCAAGATGTTTCCATTTTCGGTTCCGCTTCTTGTCTGTCTTTCTACCCATGCCGGATAAAGGAAAAATATGTCGTTTAATATTATGAAAGGATAGCTTTGTGTTCACTCCAGCTGCCATGGGCGTGATCCGTTGCGTGTACCTGCATCACAGCACCAGCAAAGGTGCTGTGTTATTTTGTTTACTCCGGCCACAGCCTCATGGGTCAGGTCGAACTGGTTTGGCTATTTTCCTGCAGACATTTGTTCAGTCTGCTAGTCTGTCAAACTCTCAACACACTCGGCAGGGCTAGGCTGACACCTTTTGCCATTTGCAGCACGCCTTTAGTCGAAAGTCGAGCGAAAGTTACACTTGCCCCGGGGGCGTGCACCCCGCCCCGCAGCATTGCCAGTTCAGCACGGCCCATCCGACCACGAACCCTGTGGCCAGGCGAACGTAACAACGCTCTCCCTGCGAGCAGTTCCTGTTCTAAATTGCAATTGTATGCACAAACAAGCCACGTGAAGCGGTCCAGAGCCACTTTGCAGATTCAATCAATGTATAGCGTATCTTCTGAATTATAAGTTGCTTCATCCAGACAGACCCCAGCCAGCCACAGGTTCCTTATCTTTGAGTTGAAAAGCCTACGTCTCACTTCCATGCACAGCAAGCCAACATGTTTTGGCCTCCACTTGCTGTGATGCTAGTTGGTAGCTATCTCTCGTCTGATGCGCAGGCAGTGTCCAGAGCATTAGAGCCCAGCGATATGACAATTTGCGATCCACCTATCGTTTGTTTTTGCTGACCTGCTGTTCCTCCGTCTCCCCTCACACGACATTCTCCTTGCACCGCTACAGCTGAGTCAAAAGAAGAAGACATAACAAACGGACTGGGCTGGACGCAGAGAAAGAAAATCCGACGGTCAAATTTCCCCGTCCCAAGGCGCTGTAATATCGTTCTTCAGTGTTACTTTGTGAAAAATGTATTTTATTTAATGCATGTTATTGAGTCATATGAAGGTGAGTTTCACAAACGTTCGTTTTTAATTGTTACCAGGTGCGAAAAGTTATGGTTTATTTGATGCGTTATATTGGGTAACAAGATTGTGGCTTTCACACACTTCATAATTTATCGGAATGCATTGTCCTAATAAAACAACCCATCCACCGTCTTTTCCTGCCGTCATTCTGAAGACGTCATTATGGTTTAAAGCTTTTCGCTTTTCGCTTAAGCTTTTAGAATTTCTCACCTGAATGGTGGATTTTTAGTTTTTTGTGGCCTGGTTTTACAGAAAATAGAGCGTTGCGAACTTAGAAATAGCAATTGTTATCATGCCAGATACAGCGATCTGCGTCAGTCGATAACGAGACAGAATAATAGCGCCGGCCGGCCCAGATTATCTGGGCCAGGTGATCACAACCATAAAATTGAAGACTAGGACGGAAAAGCTATTATCGTTCCCGTTCTTTTACGGAGTAGCAGAATGCATCCTGCAAGGTCCTCTGGCTTCGCCACGGCTTGCCGGACGCTTGGCTCATCACCAATACGACGCTTGTCAAAGGAGACCCTTACACGACATTTAAATATCTTGTCTGCGACACTGCGATGACGGCGACTGACGATGGAACCACGTTACAAATGACTCCCATCCTCCGACAATGCTTAGCAGCCTTTTCTATCACGACATTATAGATCATTGTGTCTTGACGTAAAGGAAGCACAATCAATTTATTATAGCTGCACTTCGACTTGAGTTCCCAGGACTTGAACCCATTTCTATCACACATGGTGCGATGTCCGCCTTCGGCGCACATCTCGACTCGTGACGGAACAGGAGACATTCACAGACATGTTTCCGCAGTCATTAGGGAGAGCTTGGGTAGCATGCGAGACACAACACGAAGCACTGACGACGCGGGTGTTGGTGACTGGTCTCGATGCCGGCGTCGCGTAAGCCTTTACGATGCCAGGGCCTCTACGGGGATGAGATGAAGAGCTCCGGGTGCTGGGCCCGCAGCTGGGCGTACTCCGGGAGCTGCGTCGGCGCCACGGGCAGGTGGGCGCCCGACGGCTTGAAGCCGCCCTCATCGGCCTGGTAGTCGACACGGAACTTCAGACCCCCGGGCGAAATAAATTCAAAGCTGCCGTCCTTGCTGATGCTACCCGTCCCCGGCTCGGGTCCCGGGAAGCTGCGGCCCACCTCCTCCACCTGTGAAGAGACACACAACATCAGCCCCTCACTGCCTCGGGTCCCAGGTAGGTGCGCAACATGTACTTCAAATGTGTAGGGTCAGAAGAGTCACGACACGAAACAGGGGACAAGAATTCTGGGCTGAGACGGTGGAGTGGTGCCCACTCGACAGCTACTCGTGGCGTCTTTGCTCAGTCATCTATTTGCGCTAAATTCACCAAGTTAGATATTCACTTGCAAAGGACCCGACGCTCAGCAGCTCAATAGATATACATCATTACGTGAACAGGCAAAAGACAGAAGCATGAGTCGAAAAGCAAAGCAAAGCCCATGAATCCCAGCACACATTGCCACAATGACGGCGTGCGTTGGATTCGGTTTCAACAGAGTGCCGCATTACTCGCCTCCCTCCGCTCACCTTCTGTCCGTTGTCTTGTTCGTATCCGTACTCGTAGTTGCCCCGACCGTCCTGTACAAACCGCTGTGAAATCAGCCGGATCTTGGGCAGACTGTGCTGCTCCACCACCACGTTGCCGAACTCGTCAAAGACCTGCTGTGGCGCAGCAGCGGCCACAGCCACCAGACAGGCGAGCATAAACTGTCGGACAAAACACCGGTCAGCGCAAAATGCACGACACAGCGGAAGACAATGCAAACTGTCGCGAATCAGACCGAAACCAGAAGACTTGGGCTGAGGCGCCTGTGTGAAAAAGGGGCGGACTGGAGTTCTTCAGCTGACTAAAAACACCGGAGTACACACCCGTGCTGAGAATATTGGACTCTAAGCGATGCCTGCTTTTAAAGTCCAGGGAATTAGTCCAAGTACAGTCTGAGCTCCGATGAAACAACAGGCATCTTGGCCAATGGTGCAAATAAGACTTAAGCCTCAACGAAGACATCAAGAATGAACTGAAACGGCATGGTATTCCTGCAGTTTGACGCCTAAAAACGACTCCAATACAGCGCTCCAGCATGGGAAAAATGTTCTGGCACAGTGTGGTCAATACGAACACGAAATAAAAAAGCATAGCATACGGGAATACTGCTCATGTCCAAGCCATTCATGAAAGTCCACCTTTCGAAGACTAGACGCTGTAAGTTCAAATCTAACCATTTCCTTTTTACACGTTAGATAAAGTATCACCGACTAGAAGAAGGCAGAGAGCAGTCATAGTTAATGATATGATTAGACCGACCACTAACCCTTTTCCAGTGCCAAATCGTTATAATTAGTGTCAGTTGGGTGTTCGGGATGTACACAGGGCTCGACAAGGTCTGATCACATTAAGGCTAAGGTCAGTCTGGTCATCGTGTGAGCCTAACTAGGTAAGTGCAAGTGTGTTGCTTACTGTGTCCAGAGGCAAGTGTCACGTGGTGGGCGTTGCCAAAGTTGGCTGCATAAGCGAGCGTGCAATTACCGATACACCACCTATACTTGTACATAATGAAAGCGTTTTTTTTATTTTTCGTTAGAACTGAAATGTGAAAATTCTACTCACCATTTTCATGATGAGGAGTTCCTTGGCTGCTCACAACGTCCGAACTGGTGGCTGCGGATGGTTCACAGGCCTCTTAAATACTGCGCGACGCGGTTGATCTGGCCGCAGGGGTGTGAGAGGGCGGCGTGGCGGGAACGACCACCGAGCCATCCTGAATAGGATTACCCACCTACTTTAGATCTCTTTAGTGGGAGAGGGCGGGGCAACGGGGGTGGCCACCGTGGCTCTCTGAATAGGATTACCCATCTACTTTGGCTCTCTTTAGCCACAAGAAAACACGCCGGCCTTACAGTGATGAGGTCGATCGATGTTGAGATCTTCGGGTACGGATTGGTGGCCGGGAACGGACGTGTAGTCGGAAAGGAACGTGGAATCCGGAAGGGACAGGTGGCTTGGCAGGGACGAGTGATCGGGCAGGGATATGTAGTCGGACAGGGACGGGTAATCGGGCAGGGATATGTAGTCGGACAGGGACGGGTAATCGAGCAGGGGTATGAAGTCGGACGGGGACGTGTGGTTTAGCAGGAACGGTTGGTTCAACAGTGAAGAACGATCGAGCACGAACAGGAGTTCGAACGGGTCAGGGTGGTCGAGCAGAGACAGGTGTTCGAGCAGGTCAGGGAGGTCGAGCACGAACAGGTGTTAGAGCAGGTCAGGGTGGTCGAGAAGAGACAGGTGTTCGAGCAGGTCACGGTGGCCGAGCAGGGATAAGCAGTCGAGCAGGAACGGACGTTCGCCCAGGCGTGAGGGGTCAAACAGGGACGGGTTGTCATGCTAAGAAGGTTTGACCGGCAGGGACGAGTGGTCCGGCATGGACAGGCTACCGAGCAGGGACGGGCAGTCGGGCAAGGACAGATGATCGAGCAGGGCGGGTGGTCGAGCAAGCAACTCAGCTTCCCCTCAGCAGCAATTATGTCCGCGGAATCCCTTGGCCAAATTATGGCTCACTTCTCGACCATGAGAAATATTTGGAGGGGCCCACGAAGATTGAGGGAGGCGTCCCCCACCATATCCATTTTTGATTGGTTCTATTCAGTCAACACTCATAGAGCGAACGGCAGTTTCTCAGAAAGTGGTAGACTCAGCCGCTTTCCTTCTGACCTGTCTCCCGCGCCTCTTTCGCAGGTACTCCTGTTGAAGGCGTTGTGTGACGACAGTCTATAGATTTCTTCGGTGCATATGTTTGAGGTGTGGTGGTCCCGACACTACGCTCATAATGTCATGAAATTAATAAACTGAACACACTACGCGCAAATCATCTCGAGGAAGGATTCTCGCACTGGTAACGCCACAGCACGCGGACACCTCTTGGATTATTATTTGCCTTCCTCATGCCTCTCAGCTGATGTTCCATAAGAACGAACTGAGTATACTTTTACGGGGGAGTGTCCCCATGGTTAGATGTCCCCAGTTTTGGGCTAGGCCTCCGGAGTGTGAAAATGTACCCACGACACCACACTTTTCCGCTAAAATAATTGCTTAGAATCTTTTAAAAAAAGATCGAATAGCTCAGAGTTGATATTTGCACGGTCTCCTCGGTCTTGCACTGGCTCTGGTGAGCCCGGCCTCTGTGCAGGCCGGACGCTGCGCTGGCTCTGGTGATACTAGACCCTGTGCTGGTTTGGGTGGGATCGAGTGCTATAAATGGCTTTGATCGGCAAATCCATATCAAACTATTCTAGCATTTTTATGGTTAGATGTGACACAAAATTGCGTATTCAAGGAGATGAGAGCCTCCAGGGCACGTGTAACCCGTGTCAAAAAATTATACGCATTGATATGCGTGTGGTACGTCGGGTCTGCACTTTTCAACAACGTGTGCAGTTTTATTGTTAACGATTGGAAACTGAAGTTACACATGAAAATAAAAATGCTAAAAACATGTCATGTTACACGCCATGCAAGAACTTTCCCGCCCTTGCGACGCGTTTGAACGTGTTTTTCAGCAAACATGTTTAGCTTTATCCCCACTTCGAAATGTTATATTCGTTACTAGGCAAAAATGCCGCTTTTGAGACAGATGGGTGGAGGCGCGTCTGCACAATCGTCGTGGCTGAGAGGGCGTTCAACACATTTCGTGTACCCATAGTCAGGCTACGGTCGCGTTCGGAACTACAGTCGCGTATCGCCCCGTGCTGCGTAGGCTGGTGGTTAGGACTATAGATGATACGCAAACAAAATGTGCAAAGGCGCGTTTTTCTCACCCACACCATAGACAGCCAGAGTGAAATCTATTCTATCTTAACCTGACTCGGCATGTTAACAGGTAGTAGTAGTAATTAACGACGAGGTCATTACACAGCAAATCGACCACGGATAGTTGCACTTCAAGACGGCACCCTCTTCGAATTTGAGGAATAACAATGTGGTTATGTCCGTCCAAAACACGTTTCTACGGATTTTACAGCTGTACAGCATGCTGAAAAAGAGGCAGGAACGAACAAAAATACGTGATAACAGCACGAAATCCATGTTTTATCTTACGTCAGCGCGGCCCCGCTTGCGGAGTGAACGTTTGTGGGGAAGCGCATCAGAAGGCAAAACGACTGTCTTGCTATAAAAACATAAGTCAATACAACATTCGAGGTCATTTAGGTACATGTGGCTTGGTGGGACAGTTAATCTCATTTTCTGAAAAAGGTCAGTTCATTCGATTCACTTTAAAGCAATGTGAAATTAAAGGCAATATATCATTGTTCGGACTGAAGAAATGTTATCTTTTCTAGGCTGGTCACCAGTCGAATTTGAACAATAGCGGATGACGCACGGCGCCGCGTCATGGGCCGACTGGCCGGTACTGGGCGACCGGGCGCGATCGTTTCTCCTCTGCTGTGAGCTGTGGCCGTAACTCTGAAACCAGTCGTTTCATCCTTAAAGCCAGTTATTAATTTTTTTAGGATTATGCAACACTGTCTGCATGGTAAATGCATTTTGATCGATCGCACGCACTTATCGTCCTTTACAAGTCGCGTAAATGGCTGCGTCGTTCGCTCCGAGCCTTCACCGTGCATTGAAAACCATTTCATAAAAAACCGTTTCAGTTGAACTAAAGCTCAACATAAGAAGAAGAACCGACAATTCATCTAAAATTATATAAGTTACCCAATCTGGCCTTGAGCACGAGAAGGTCGCCTATGTGCTTTGCCCACCGTGTCTGTAACCCCAAGCATGGAATTCGACACAGCACGCATCTAATTCGACGCTGGCCACGGCAAACTAGGCCGAAATCTAAGGGATAGTTTGTGTGGGTAGTGTCACATCGCTTGGATGTCGCGAAAATAAAGACCTGCAGTATTACCGTTTTCAGAAAGTGCACAAGGGAATAAACACCAGAAAAGCTGAGTGAACATGGTCGAAGATGAACAGAAAAGAGGCTTGCACAGTGTTACCATATTCCCACGAATGCGGTGCAAGCCACTTGCCATCACCACGAATAACAGTTGTGCACAAAAGCAGCTTGTCACGTTGTCTCAAACGTGCAGAGTTGCCATATACAGCAACTGAAAACATATGTAAATCAATTTAGCCGGAAGCTCAAAGGAACGAGCAGGAGTTTGAGCAAGTTTACCGACATTTGTCTACTGAAGAACCCATTTTATTTTTGCCATTGCCTGCCCAACCTCTTTGTAACAAGGTTTGGAGAAGTTTTTTTCGTAACTTGCGTTTGGCTTTTAGGAAAAAGTATCGTTATCCGCCTTTTAAAATCTTGTTGCAATGTCGTCAACGAATTGATGTGCCGGAGCCCCCGAATGGCTATGAACATGAGCCCCGGATCCAAAATCAATCAACGTTAGTGATGAGATCGAGCTTATGCACGCGAGGTCTGAGTCACCATCGCGAGATCACCTTGGAATGATTGCACGCAATATCGCTGGAGGTGGAGAAAGTGAAAGGCCACGGGGCTAGGGCTGTAGAAACTTCTGTCTGGTCGGCTGAGAACAATTTCTTGTTTCATGCTCATGTGCAGTAGGCGATGTGAGCATGCCCTCTACCATTTATCTGCGTGTGTTACCCGGTACAATGAAAATTATATCGGTAGCATTTGGGTGCGGTACTTTGTAAAGAATAATCCAGCACAAACCTTAAGACCACGTTCAGCTTATTTGCCAGGTTGACAACGGCACCGCGCTCGTGAACGAATTGTTCACATTTACAGGGGCTGATGGAAGCTTATTGGCTGTAGGAGGCACGAAGAAAGTTTGTTTGCTGCCTCAAAAGACGTTGTAGATCGTTTACCTCACTGGCCATCGCCGATTTGCTCCGCGAATGTTCCTTTTATCGTGCAAAACACAGTTTGTCACCACTATCGGGACTATACACTCAATATGGCACTCAAACGACCATAAATCCAACTGTGGCATGATTTAAAACCGGCAATTGCCTCGTCAGCTAAATATCTGCATCATCAGTGACGGTTTAGCTTATTTATCACCCATAGTATACCGTTATCAGGCAAAGATGCCATTCATGTCAAAAGTCCCCACCCAGCTGCAAACCAATTCATTACTTTACATATCACTGTGTGGCCCGATATAAAGCAAGTACAACGTGAACAGGATCAAGCCCTGACAGCGCAAGATAAGTTTCGTGTCTGCCCCCACCCCGTCTGCTCATCAAGATATGTTTCGTGCCTGCTCTCAGGTTAGTGAACAGATGCATCATGGACGCGGCTCGTGAATTGCTTTATGGAGCACAAGACGAAGAACCACAAACTCGTGCGTCTTTCACTTGTAATTTGCCTTTCATCCAGCTATGAATAATGGCGGGATTTTTTTGCAATGTATGTAGTTCTTTCCCGTTTTATTTTTATTCGGAGGCATGCTCTTCACCCACGTGACAACGGATGAAAACTGCAAAACAGAGCAACGCTTGAAAGACAGGTTTAAAACTACGAAGGCTGAAAGCAGCTCGCAGCTTTAATCATAATGAACTTGGTGGTGAATGCATCTTAGCTGCCGTTACATCATTGAGCGCAACTGTTCGCACTTTTAAATGATCCTGTGAGAAATGAATGTGGCGCAAAGCATTGAGTGCGACGGGCTCAT